CTATGTGTTCTTTGGTGGAAATGGCAAAATAAGTTTCTGTTACAGGTTTTCTAACATCGTGATTGTTATTTATCTAAATGAAGAAATGAAGTGATGACCTTGGCTACCGGAGGTGTTTCTAACAATCTCTTGCAGCAGGCATGTCATTGTTTGTGTTTGTGTTTCAAACGGCAAATGGATTTCTTAGCACTGTTTCTCTTCTAAATTGAAACCACATAATTATGATAAGGATAATGGCTGAAAGAAGTACGTGCAAATGTAATTATGCTTGGAGAATGATGGCTACATCGCTCATCACTCTTAAAGGGAACAAAGGTCAAAGTGTTTTTACTGGAGATTAGCATTTGAAATAGATTTTTCAGCAACAAGAAAAAAGCAAAAACATTCTTTGAATTATGTGAAGCAGACAATATGAATAAAAACATTGGTGTGGTAAGAAATAGGAATGAGGTCTCGTGCAAGGCTATAGAGGATATCTTTAGATTCTAATAGGAAAGGATAAAGCAGGTCTGCGATAATCCCTCAGATTGAACTTTAAAGTACCTGTAGTCACAGCACAGTGCCTACTGCATGACTATTCCAGATATTAAGTGATTAGATTTTATTTGTTGAAAAAAAAAAAGGCTTTAAATTTAACATCTTTTCTGATGCAGTGACACATGAAGTGTGGCAGTGTGGATAATAACATCAGATGAGACTCATGCCTGCTTGATAAAAACACAGCCAGCCGGAATATCCTCGAGTGCAGTTACTTGAACGTGGATTAAGACAGATATTGTCTTCTGCCTTGTTTTTAACTTTGCTTGTTTACAATTTGATTTCAAACCCAGAAAAATGTGCCTAATTTGAAAATAAAGGGGTAAAAGGTAGATCTTTAAAAAGCCTGTTCAATTCTCTTTGTAAGAATTCAACATAAAATGTAGAAATGCAGTGATCATTATCCAGCTCGCTTTATAAATCAACTTTCACCTTAACGCACCGATGTTCCTGGATTCTGACCGTGCTCTCTGTTCTGATGTTGTCACTGTGCAGAGCGAGCAGGATGAGAACATGATCGAGATGGCCGGGGATGACGTGGACGTGCCCGAGGAGCTGCTCAAGATGGTGGATGAGGACGCTACAGAGGAGGAAGGCAAAGACTCCCTCCTGGGTCAAATTCAAAACTTGCAGAACATGGACATGGACCAGCTGAAGGAGAAGGCCTCGGCGACGGTCACCGAGCTGAAGACCAAAGCAGAAGAGAAGTGTTCCGTCATGTGAGCAGCCAGAGAGGGCGTGTGTGTTCACAAAGTCGGGAAGAAGAAGAAGAGAGAAGAGAGGAATGAATATCACCACTTCCTGGGGGAAAAAACACGTCTGGGATACAGTCAAAACGTAAAAATGCCTGCAAAGTATTCATTTTTCTTATAAGAACGAAAAGGCATTATCTTCACCAGGGTGTTATATCTTTACCACAACCAGTCTGCATCTATTTAAGAATATACATTAAAGGTTTCCATGTCAGCTGATTACTCGGTGGGTAATCGTTTCCAACTTTCCATAAAAACAAAATAATACTATTTGAAATCATGTGCTGAGTGCCCTATCCGCTCCCTCCCCCTCATCCCCGTTTAGACAAGAAATCTAGAAAAGTACATTTTCCTGATCCACTGCCACAGTTGATTTCTTTTCATAACTCCTTCATAAAGCTACAGGCCCTGATATATTTCGAAATTTGTAATTGTCATATAATATATTATATTTTTCTCTGTTTATCAAAAAATTTAAATGTTCAATCTCTAAAATTGTTTTGCGGTTCATTAAAATAACCAAGACTTATTAAACCAATCCTGTCTGCGTATTTCCACTTTCCTTTTGGTTTCATGGTGATTTTTCTTTTGTATATGGTGTTGAACTAATGAAATGTAGTCTTTTTTTCTGTCGGTGTTACTACAAAAGGTGATCTTTACAAGTTTTGACATTATAGTTGTAATAAAAACTGTTGTGTCTGACACATTTGCGGAGACGTTTGCAGATTTGCACAAACTGTAATTTCAAAATCATTACAATAAAAGCAATGCTCATAAACGCTTAAAACACACATGGTGGCTACACTGAGAAAACTTCAAATAAAGACATGTGTGGAATACAAGTAATGTCTTGGTTTGCATTGTTAAGCTTGAAATATCTTCTCAAATATCTGACTTTTTTATGTGTCAGTTATGTGCAGCAATTTAAATGGAAACACCTTGTTATGAATGTACTGTGTATGGTAATGTGATTTTACAATCAGATTTAGTGGCTTTTAAACTGGTGAGCCAAGCAGAAATTCTGTTGTACAGACATCAAATATTTAAGATTAAGTAACTATAATCCCATCTACTGAATCAGGACTAATACAGTAAGTAAATAAATAGGTCTTAATTTAATTGGGCATTATCCAAACAGTTTGGAACTATAAGGCAGAAAAGGATGGGGGCTGGGGGGACAGGGAGTCACAACCTTAGGAGTTTCACATGAACCCAAGATGTGGATTTGTAAAGTCTGGAGATTACGTCTAATAGGATCAGCACAGCCAAGGTTGTCAGCCTGTGCCGTCCTCCTCTCTTTCTCTCCAGATGAGAGGACAAACTCAGGTTTTGAAAAACCAACTATCCAATTCTCCTTTTACAGAACAAGGAAGTACTAGCTTGGAATATTTCCATAACACCTCCATTCAGCCAACAAAACCTTTGCAGCATAAACATGCTTGCAGACATGCTTGTAAAGTGTGAAACAAATGGAGATTTAAGAATGAAAATATTTTCATTTCTAACTATTTAAACAGCTAGCAAAAAGTAATGGCTAAACAGTTTAAGCTAACATAGTTAGCTTAAAGCAAGCAATGCACTGTTAAAGTATACTTTTTCTTAAATTGAAAAATTTACTGTTGCTAAAAAAATAACCAGTTATAATGAAAAATTATATGATTACCCATGAGTATTGATATACATTGCTAAAGGTAAGAGTTAAAGCACTGAAATAATAATGGATAAATGCAAACAATAACACTAGTTAGCTACCGGTAATCATAATGGCTTAATACTTGAAATTGTTAGCTCCTTAAGGTGCTAAACAGAGAAACTGACTCACCAATGAGTGCAGCCAGTGCAGGTTTAACAAAATATTAACAGGAGCAGAAGTTCTGTTAGTTGCTTAAAACATTCTCCTGTATACTCGCAGCTTAATTAGAGTTACCTACACAGCAAAAATGCCAGTGTTGATTTTTCAGTGTTAGTAGATTTCAACAGAGTTCCGAGTTAGTTCAACACTTAATCGAGTTAAAATAACACATCGGGAGTTGATTCCTGAAAAGTGTAAGTGTGGATTTTAGTCGTTACTGCATTTTAACACTGTGGGTGTTAAATTAGACCACGCCTTCATTTCCTGTGGAGCTTCGCATTTCAGAATCTTCGGTCGCCATTTTTTCTTGCTGCTGCGGTAAGTTTTATTCGGTCAAATATTAAGTTTTAGATTGATGTTAGAACAAGTAACATGATAACTAGTAAAAACAATAGTATTTGTATCAAAATACATTATCTTTAAGTGTCATATTTGAATTTTAACTGTTTTTTGTTAAGCTGGGCTACTGCTAGCTAAAACTGCAAAGTACCAGTTACTTTCCTAGCATTCATTTAGCATAATCTGGCTGTTGGCAGACTATAACGAATATTACTTGTTAATATATGTCACAGTTTTTACTAAACGCCTTTTATTTATTTTCAAATTAAACTTGCTAAATCCTTAGTTCAGGGGTCTCAAACCCGCGGCCCCGTGTGGGACTCCCCCCTCCCTCTCTCCCTCCCGGTTTGAGTGCGAGGGAGGGAGAAAGTATGAGTTGCTACCCGCGAGAAACGGAAGATGAAAGCATGTAGATATAATAACCACTGCAGCCAAAAAGACTGGCTGACGAGCCCAGTTGTAAGTAAGCTGTTTATACTCGAGTGTACACTGTGTTCGCTGACAGTAAAGCTAGTTAGCGGCCACGAGCCCGACGCGGGACCCGACGTATTAGCCAGGTTTTTTTTTTTGTTTTTTTTTTTAACCACGGTTCAGAGCCGCGGAGCTAGGCTTCGGTTAGTTTGGAGTGAGAAAAATGCGTTCAAGTTTGCGGTTTTGCCTTCTTATACAATATTTGAAATTTTAAAAACTAACGAGGAACTGCATTTTGGGAAATATTTGTGGGTGGTTTCTTTGTATTTTTTTTTTGTACTACTTGAACACTAAAGTGGCCCTCCAATGAGATGGCAGTGGCCCATAGCTCATTGAAGTTTGAGACACTGGCTTAGGTGAACTAGGATGCTTAAGGCTACCCTGAGAGTATGTATAGATGGAAAGATTTTTACACTAGAGTATGCCCCCTACATCTTGTTAATTATGGTAATTTCATATGTTATGCATTTCTGTGACAATAAGGCATTTTTCTTTTTTTAGATTGTTTTTTTTTCATGGTAAAATAAGCATTTTTCTGCCTCTTTATATTAGGGTTTGTTAGAGTGCAGGGAGAGTTTTTATGGCTTAAAGTATATAAAAATAATAAAAAAGAAATATGGTTTCTACTAACCCCCGCGATTATCAAGAGACTACTGTATTGCAGTGCAGTTATGCAGTTTTGTTCTACTCTTGGAAGGTGGCGATATGCTGGTTCCTGTCGAGTTTAAGGGAATGAGCAAATGGGTCAGGGTACCAAAGACAGACGATGCCTACAATTACTCCGAATTTTTGCAAGGAGGTCATTTGAGTGTAGTGATTAAAAGTAACTAAGTAAATTTATTCATATACTATTCATGTAAGTATTGTTTTGATTTACTTGTACTTTACTCAAAGCCTTCACTGCAGATCAAGGGCAAATACTGTAAGTTTACTTCACTACATTGATTGCTAATTTAAATGAATAATTCTTTTAGTAATTGAATGAATAAAGAATTTATAAATATTGTCAAAGTAAAACTGTGATTCACGGATTTATGAATTATAAATTCATATAGAACTTTATTGATTGTTTCTTTTTTAGTGCTGGTGAAATTCAGTTTGCCAGGTTCTACCAATTTGGTCCTGATGGATTCTGCGGGAGTGGAAGTGGATTCGGACATATTTGATGAACTTTTGAAGTCATCTCAGGTGTCTTTCAGTGTCTTCACTGAAGAATGCAGTGGTAAGAAGTTTAAGCCGTATGTTTCATTTAAAAATGCGTTGTTAAATTTACTAATTTATAGTTGGTGTAATCATGTTTAAATCTATGAGGCTGTCTGTATTGTTAGACAACAGTGTTGCAGGGTCTTCTTCAGATCACACATCTTCATTAGAGTTGTCACCGTCACCTGCATCAGGAGGATCATCATCAGGTTCAGACACAACAATAATACTCGAATCTACCAAAGCTCGGAAAAGACAATTAATTGAAGGACCTCCTGACAGCAACACTGCAAGAAATGTAAGTAATCTTCAGGATATGATATGTTGTAACTTAAGATTGCCAATTACCTGTTCATTTGTACCAATACTCAATATCTTTAAAAATATTATTAAAAAAATTATAAAAACAAAACAATGGTCCCTCTCATGATTAAATAAGATGTAGTGATTAATGCAAAGGCTATAGCAGTTGATGCTGATAATTTTTATACCCACCTGGTAGGTGCTTTCTATGAATTTCTTGCAATTGTTATTTCAGATCATCAGAGCAGCCTTGTATTCAAAGCCAGATGGTGATCAAGTATTTAAGGAATATGAGAAAACAAACTGCCTCTCTGATACTACAAGAAGAAGGATGGTGAACATCCTTGTGGCAGACATGGTAGAGAGTCATGGGTAAGTGATGTAAACATTAAGAAAAATCTTTGTTTTTTTTTTGTTTTTTTTTGTCTGCAATTTTAGTTGTTTACCATTATTGCACCACTTAAATAGATTCTTCTATATGTCATGAAGTCATTGTTAAGTTAAATCAAATCAATCATAGTTTTCATTAGTTGCTAACCCCATATTGATAATGTTTCAAAAGAAAGTCACAATTTGTTATGGAGTGATGTTATTTTCCATTGTCATTATTGTAGTTTCTGAATATAGTGCTTCTTAACAGGGATGGTTGACAACAGCAAAACATTAGGAAAATGTCTGCATCAAATTGTCATAGTCCATGTGGAGCATAATCCAAGTCTTCATTTTCATTATTCTTAAAGACCTGTCACGTGTGTGATGTGGTCAGTCATGATTTACAGATGATAGGTAGTTTGGGTAGTTCAAATCATACACCTGGATACATGTTGTTCTTGTTGCTGACATTTTATAATTGAACTTGAATCTGTGTTGGGGTAAATAATTGATAGTTTTCATGTTCTCTGTATCTGCCTTTTAGGAGGATCCCACCAGTAAGTGTCCACATTATGTTGGGATTGGCACTTGGGATTAAAACCTTGTTCCCAAACTTAAAGGACCCAGATTCAAAGAATGTTTATGTAAGTTATGATGCATACATGCTGTCAGTGTCATAGTCCTGGGTCTGTGACCCAGTTTTTATGCAATTAAGACTTTTTTGATTGTGGTTTACGTGATAAATGCCTACACCTGCAGATATGACAGTCAGTGGTCTGTGAAAGTATTTTGTTGTTGGCTTTTCTGATGGAGTGGTTAAAGAAATCATATGATAAGACTAATTCAGGTCAGTCTGTCATTCAGGCAGTTTATCAAGTTATTCCCTAATGGACCCAAAATAAATAAATGTAAAAAAATGTCATTGTGTAACAATTGATTTAAATAGACCTCTAATGCATGATGCCATAACTGGCTTTTTGACATGTAGCACTGAACAATCCCACCAGTCAGGAGTTTTCTTCACTTGCTACAAACAGAGTAGCAGGTAATCAATATTGAATAAATATCTCTCTTGCTCTTAATTCGGCAGGAACATTTCTATGATCACCAGAGTGGTTCTGGTTACCTGGCATGGAGATTGAAAACTGTGCAGCGCAACTCTACTGAAGAGATGAAGAAATCAAAGTCAGCTTTTCAAGACAGCCCAAGACTCTTCGCAACTTCGCAACAAATGCGAGACAGTTGTCGGGTGATGAATGCAAGGAAGCTATGTCAGTGATGAGGCACTCGACTGATATGAAAGTTGTCAAAGAGAAAATGAAGGTGACATTTCAACATAGGCAAAAAGTGATTCAAGATCCAGCCACAGCTTCTTCTGTCCTGGACCTTTTCCCAAGATTTCTGGATACACCTGGCTTGGTAAGGCATAAACTGATTGACTGACAGCTGTGTGGTTCCTTTGTTTGTTTGCTCGTTAATGCGTTCTTTCTATTGTCACATTTTGTGTTTCAGATTGACCAAGACTTCACAATGCTGTTTGGGGAGGAAGTGTCTGGTAAATTCCTTGCAAAGTGGCCAACATTCTTCAAGCCAAGAATCATCAAAGATTGCAAAAATCTGTCTCAGAGTACAGAATTGGATGACCTGCTTGTCTCTGCACAGGGGGACTCTGATGAGGGTGGTAAGTTGGAGATGGTAGACTTCACATGTCTTTACAGCATTTTCACAATTCCCACAGCACAATATATTAGGTGGACCATACTATTAAATCAAAACATGTTTTGGCACCTTTACAACAAATTGGAATACAGCTGTCGATTTTATAAATTACGTTGAGTTTCTGTTCATTTCAGTATGGTATGAAAAGGAATTTACAAACAAACTTTAATGGCATTTAAAGTTTGACAAAAAAAAGTTACTTAATGTTAGTATTGTTATGACTCAATATTTACGTCACTTGGTGGCCAGAAGATTTTAAGTGTCTTGAAATGAATTTTCATACCATACTGAAGACATTGGAAAACTGCTTTATTTGAAAAATTATCAGTTATCCAAAACTGAATAACATTGACAAAATGACTGCTGTGGACCTTAAAATGACAGTAATTGCGATTATCCTAATTCCTATTCTGTAGTTTGGGACTGCGAGTTGGCTGCCATTCTTTTGCTGCTTCACTTGTTACCTCCAACATCTAAGGGAAGGAAGTCTTCAAAGATTAGCACATCAGATGCTGCTCACCACCTAATGAAATTCATGAAGGTATGATTTTTTAGAAATGTGTTAAAGTAGCTTTCTCTTTTGATGAGAAAAGATTATCAGATGTTTTAAGAGGGCAAGGAGTTCCACTGTGCAGCAGATATATCTATGCCAGATAGGCTTGGTGTTGCAACGCCGGCACATTATTGTTACCATTAAACCTAAAATTACACATTGGAACAAAAATAACTGTGGGCCCGAAGTAAAACATTTTAATATTTATATAATAATATAATTAATATATTTAATATTGTCTTAATTTTAGGCAGCACTGCCACTCAACATCCGATTACCAATTTTGTTTAATGTGAATCATTTGGTTTCTTTCACTCCCTCAGGTGGGAGGTAGCATGGAGACTTTTCTTAAGGCTGGCCCCACTCAGCCATTCCTCCTGTGTGTTGGAGAAAGAAAGAACATCATCCAGACTTTCTACATTGTCCTAGATCAAAAGGTCATTCCCTGTGTGACGCAGACGGGAGTTGCAGCTTTTGACGAGCTTTTCAAGGCACATTTTGTATTTGCCGTGTCCTATGACGAAGCATTGCACAACTTCTACACATTCATCCAGACCACCGTGTATGGCATTGATGTTGGCAGCGTGAAGGAGAGTCCTCGGGTCAGGGAAATCAGAGCAAGAATTCTTCACAGTACAGTCTAAAGACATCGACTATACAGTACTTTGACTGTTCTTGTGTTACTTTTGCAAGATACACCACACAAGTTGCTCAGTGTTATTTAGACATGTCAAGTTCTAGCAACGTTTTTACTTTTGAGCTTTGGACAGCCTAGATATTAATTTATCTTTTACAAGCAACACCTCTTCAAAGCACGTGGAGACTTTGTTGACTCAGAGGTCATCAGTAATTTTTATTTTGAGCCTGCACCTTATGATAGAACCTTTGTTTCACAGCCTGTAAATGTGGCTCATCTTGTGACAGGACATGTATAGGACTGTTATTTCTCAACTACAATCCTCAGGAGTTCTGAAAGTACTGTGCAGTGTTTAGTTGGTTCATTGGAGGAAAGTGTTAATGACATGCGTCATTGCACATGCAAAACAATCTGTTGTTGAATGTTTGTCATCAAGAGAAACCTCGGAAAAGTTGAATGTTTTGATCAGCTTGAAAACCCATTCTCATATCTTAACAGAATCTAAAAGGATGAGACATTTTGAGCAAAAATGGAAAATAGTTGAACCTGTAGAGCATGTTTTCCTGTGTGTGTTTTGATGTACTTAAAGCTGCTTGTGCATGCTCTAAGTAATATGGAGACCGAAGAAATGATCAATGGTCACTTAAATGCATTTGTTATTGAGGATAAACTGGATGCTGTTGCACTGATCTGTGTAGATAATGTGGTGTATTATAGACCTTACAATGGGCTATTTTCAAATGACACTAATGACAAAATGTAGATTGTCCAATATTCTAGTTTTGTATATATTTATGCGCTGTTTATTTGTGGTGTATCTGCTGTTTGAATACAGAGTATTTTGAACACTGTCCTGTTGTTTCTTTTAATGGGTAGAGTGTCTGTAGCTGTGAATACATTTTAATTAATTGTAGCAGTAGAGATATCAGAGATTTATGGGAGTTTATTGTAATCTGGCAGTATTGATGACTGACACTAGTGTTAGTGTTAGATAATCGACACTATTCAGTGTTAAATTTTTAAACACCAGGGCTAGTGTAAAGTACTACCAACACTATTTGGTGTTACTTTTTAACACTTAACACCAGTGTAGAATATTGTTGACACTGGTCAGTGTTAGTCAGTGTTAATCTTTAACTCTGTACAGTGTTAGAATAACACTAGGTCATTGTTAAAAATATAACACTTTGAAAAGTGTTAATTTAACACTCAAAAGAGTGGACACATATAGACACTTTTCTAGTGTTAAATTTAACACTCACGGTGTCAATTTAACACTGGCGATTTTGCTGTGTACCAGCGCCATAATAGTTTAGTTATGCTCACTGATGCACTGTGGCAACAGAAACCCTTTATTAATAAGTCAAGGCTTTTAATTATTCCCCAGAAAGTCACAGCATTGGTCAGGATGAGCATAATGTAAATCTTTACTTTTCTACACATCAGATGGATGGAAGTCATCACAGTAAACCTATTGTTAAACCACTTGTTACACTGGACCTGCAGTGGAGCTCTTGGGACAGTTTTAATTTAATAAAGTGCATTTAGTGTAAAGTTAAAATCAGAAAAGCATCACTAAAAGTCAAACTCAAATTCACCAAAAACACAGACAAAATAATGGTAATGTTTATTATTAATTCATTATTCAAGATATTATTACCTTGTAGAACTTATGGTTTTCCCCTTACCCACTGTTGTATTTTTCTATCTAGAATAATGATTGATTGATTGATTGAATCTTTATTTTGAACATGTTGAAAAAGTATAAAAAAAATAGAATTAAAAGAGACAAATGAACAAAGCAAACAAAAGGAAAACGAGCAACCGCAACTCCAAATAACGTCCATGTTCAAAAAGGAGCAGGAAGAAGCATAAGCTTTTCAACTAAACTATTTAAATATTGTACTTTGTACCTATCCATTTGACTGTATCCCCAAGCCATGCTTAAACTTGGGAATTAATTTCCAACAAAGTAAAATCTAAATCATACACCATCTGGTTTTTCAGTATTGTTTTATTTCTTCACAGTACATAAATGGATTAATAAATGAAATGCTAAAGTACAATCCTACATGGGGTATCA